TGTAGTTCCAACGCTGGCGATAATCTCGAATTTGTGAAAATACAAGGGTTTAGCACCAGAAAGAAGACAGAAGATGAAGATTGTAACAAAATCGAAGGTTTTACCTGGATAAAACTAGGGCACGGTGGAAGAGAGAAGAAGATGAAGATTGTACTATTTATACCTATTAATTTTGTAATTGATGTATTTTCTAAGGATATTTTCGACATTTCACACGGGCTTAAATGGGATTCAATACCTGATAATTAGTCAAGCCAATTTTGGCTTGACTAACAATAATTCAAATGGGGGATTAAAACGGTGGGCCCATCAATCAAGGATGGTTTCGTCAAGTGAACCAAACATTGTACACAATGGTACAACACATCCCATCCCTTCTAATACCCCCAACCAAAGAGGCCCTTATTATAGTTCAAATAGTTAAATCCAGTGAACTTAACCCTTGATTTAATTACAAAAGGGATATTCATTTTCTTAAGGAGGGAATATTTAACGAGTTTTTAAATTTCAACAATTTTCATTAAAAAAATATATTGAATAAATTTGTTTTTCTATTTTTTTTCTCATTTCGGTTGCCAAAAGATTGATTTTTTTTTTTTCTTTCTTTCTTTTTTTTTCCTTTTTTCACCGGAACCATTTGCGATCTGGCCTACAAGATAAAAAGATGTGCGAGGGAGGAAACATGAGACGAGATGTGCAACGACCGCATGCACCACTAGGGCGAAACGACAAAAACTCGAATTCCAGCTCGAGTTCACGAGTTTTAGCTTTCTAACGAGTTGGGTGTTGACAAAGCACACTGTCTCATATTTCAAAATTAGCAGTTGACTTGTATGAAATGACTAAACTAACCCTCTTATTTTTTAATAATTTACGTTTCAGTTAAATAAATAAAATGCAGAAAGAAAAAAAGAAAAAGAAAAAAATTTACCACCAACTGGCATCATCTTCCTCCTCCAACCTTATTCTTCCATTGAGCCCTCCGCCGGCCACAGCATCACCACCACGGCCGGACCACCACCACCTCACCACCTGCCTTCCCACTCCAAAAAAAGAATATGCTTTATGTTTGATGTGTTCTTCCAAATCTCTTGTAAATCAAGATTCACTAGTAGAAAATTTTCTTATTACTACGAAATTTTTTAATACGATAAAAAACTGTAATAAAAGGTACTTTTTACTACGGAATAATTTTGAAGTCGTAGTAAATACTAGGATTTACAGTAGCAAAAAAACATTTGATAGGGCCATTTACCGTAGCAAACCTTTTGTCACGCCCGTATATGCTACGGGGCAAATTTGTAGCAAATGCGTAGCAAAAACCTTTTTAGTACGAATTTGATACTTTTTGCTACGGTTTATGATCGTAGTAAAAAGAGATTTTTCTACTAGTGCTTTTGGATCGAGTTATGTTTTGTACGTATCTATTGTGTTGGGGCCTGTGTTTTTTGTGCGTAAAGTGATTTTGCCTTACGGCGGGTCTAGATGGAGAAAGCAACATTTATTGTTTTTTCTTCTTTTGCAAACGGGCTGGTTATGAAGATGAACCGATGGGTATTGTTTCTTTTTTCTTTTATTTTTTTTCTTTCTTTTTTTTTTTGGCCAGGAGCCGATCTGAAGAAGGAGAGGGAAAAAGAAGATGATGAAGTTTTGAGAAATTATGAAAATTGCAATTTGGTTCTATGCAATTTGGTGAGTGAGGGCTTTTCTTAAATTATTGGGGATTGAATTGAAAATTCTGAAAACTTCATTTTGAGCTTATGAAAAATATTGGATAAATTTATAAATTTCAAAAAATTGATTTAAAGGGCATTTAGGTCTTTCTAGTTCCAAAATAAGAGGCCCAGTCGCACAAAGCGCGAGTGTATAACACATCGAGCTCGTATGGTCCTTTTTGGCTTTGATTATTTTTCACATGGAGTTATGTGCTAATATTTTTAACACGAGGGGTTTTCAGCTATTCGAGATTACACTGTGGTGGTTTTTGCAAAAACTCACGGATATAAGCTAAAAGAATTAGGGGTTTTTATACATAAGTCCCTGACCAGCTATCTTTATTATTCTAGGTTCACGGGTTATATCTCTTTCGCTAATAAGTTCATCCATTTAATATGTATTATAAATAAAATAAAAAATAATATATATATATATCATATATATATATCATCTCTCTCTCTCTCTCTCTCTCTCTCGCTCGCGCGCGCGCGCGCGTGTGTCGTGTGTGTGTGTGTGTGTGTGTGTGTGTGTGTGTGTGTTTGTTTGTGTGTGTGTGTGTGTGTGGGTGGGTGTGTGTGTGTGTGTGTGTGTGTGTGTGTGTGTGTGTGT